ATTAATCTAAATGCCTATTGGGTAACATAAATTAAGGACATTTTTGATGGATAACTGCTTTTGAAAAAAGGGTACGTATAGTTTCAGAATTGTTAACATACATTTGTGTGTGGGTTTGCTGGTCAGCAAACCAAATAATTCAAATCCAGGTACAATATTCATTGTGTTCTGGTATATGTTTTCTTACTAAAAATATTTTATCTTAATTTATGGATTTTTAAAGGATTATTTTAAAATGTAAATGAAAAGAACCAGTAGATAGGAAAGAGAAATAGGGAAGGAAGCTATAAGTATGATAGTGTACTCTTATTAAGGAAGTTTGTTAAGAATTTGTGGATAAGGAAAGGCATTGTATATGGCAATTTTTGTCCTAAAGTAGAATGACTGGATTGCTCTAGGTTGGAAAGGAAAAATACAAGACAAGTAAATAAGGTGATTTAAAAATCTTATAGAAGTTTTGTAAAAGTTGAATGTTGTATGAGATGAGGTTGGCTCAGATTGTTAGAAAATTAGACTCCAGGCTTCAGGTCCCAACTTCCTTGGTGGAAAACTTGGCTTCTATTTTCTCTCCTCCCTCTCATGATTCCTCTAAGACCTCTCCTTTGCCCTAACCTTTTGATTTCTTCTTTGGAACAAATTAATTCAGTGATATCCTCCAGAACACGACAAACCCACTTCCAAAGGGACTCAACATCAGTTTCCTCCAGATGAGGCCACCTACGGCTCCCCAGGTTAATGGAAGACATTTCCAGAATGGATCACCACCTCTTTCCTGAGGCTCCACTGCCTCCTGGAGCCCTGCAGCCAGGACCCCAGGGCACTCTAAAGCCCTGACGGATTGCCAGTTCTGGCACCAATGCAAGGTTCTTGTCCAAGCATGAAGCAGTTACAGCAGAAGAGACCTTCACCCACATGTCAAAGATTTGTCATTGTTGATCTCTCAGGAGGCAATGTGGAGGTCAGCTGGGCCCCTGGCGATAAGGAAGCTACTAATAAAAATCCCAGCAATAAGGAAATCACAGGTGATGGAAAAACCCTACCAGCAGCAACCTGCCTCGGATAAGTATCTCCCAGATTATAACCCACGTTGCAGCAGTTATGAGTTGAGAGCTGGCCTGCTGCTTCCCTTGCAGTGGATTCTAATAAATCTAATTCTACTCACTCCTCTCTCTGTTCTACTGTTGGTGAATTCTTCTCACTACCTGAAACACCTTCCTGTAAGAAGCCTGGTTTTTCTTTTTTGTTTCTCTATGTACTTAAATTAGTTAGATATACTTATAATAACAAGTAAATATAGATAAGCTTATGATAAAATAAGAACTAGTAAAAATTATGAATAAATATTAAACCCTAGGATCAGTACATAAGGTATACATATAAGACTATTGCGTGTTTATTTGTAATGGCAAATACTATAAAAAAATCTGAGTATTGGGAGGCGCCGTGGCTCACTTTGTTAATCCTCCGCCTGTGGCACTGGCACCCCAGTTCTAGTCCCAGTTGGGGTGCTAGGTACTAGTCTAGGTTGCTTCTCTTCCAGTCCAGCTCTCTGCTGTGGCCCGGGAAGGCAGTGGAGGATGGCCCAGGTCCTTGGGCCCTGCACCCGCATGGGAGACTGGGAGGAAGCACCCAGCTCCTGGCTTCAGATTGGTGCAGCACCGACTGTAGCGACCATTTCAGTGGTGAACCAACAGAAGGAAGACCTTTCTCTCTGTCTCTCTGTCTAACTCTGCCTGGCAAAAAATAAAAAAATAAAATAAAATAAAAAAATCTGAGTATCTACTGATGGGATTCAGATTCTTGCAGCAGTATGTATAATAGAATAGCAGTTCTCAAGCTTTTTAGTCTCAAACTCCTTTGTATTCTTAAAGATTATTAAGAATGTTAAAGAGCTTTTGTTTTTGGTATGGTTGAATCTATCATCCGTTATAATGGAATTTCAAATTGAGAAACTTAGACATATTCATTAACTCATTTAAAAATAAACCCATTAACAGGGCCAGCACTGTGGTGCAGCGGGTTGAAGCCCTGGCCTGAAGTGCTGGCATCCCATATGGGCACCGGTTCTAATCCCGGCTTTTTCTCTTCCAATCCAGCTCTCTGCTATGGCCTGGGAAAGCAGTAGAAGATGGCCCAAGGCCTTGGGCCCCTGCACCCATGTGGGAGACCCGGAAGAATCTCCTGGCTCCTGGCTTCAGATTGGTGCAGCTCCAGCCATTGCGGCCATCTCAGGAGTGAACCAGGGAATGGAAGACCAACCTCTCTCTGAGTCTCTGCCTCTCTCTGTAACTCTGTCTTTCAAATAAATAAAATAGATCTTTAAAAAAAAACACCCATTACAAGTTAAAACAAATAACATGTGAGGATACTTCATAAATTCATGGAAAATGTATATTATCAAAAAACTATTTGAGTTAAAAAACTTTTTTGCACCAAAAACTTGATCTTTTCATTCCATTTTCCATGAACTTTTTCAAGTATCTCCTATTTTGTGAAAACCGTATTTTAAAAAAAACAGAAAGCTCTTAGAAAAGTGGCACTGTTTTATATTTTTGCAAATCTCTAATGGTTGCATTGGTAAAATACAGCTTGTCCTCATTCTGTCTTGTGCATTCAATTTGTTGCTGTACATTACTTTGCTTAGCATGTAGGAAATCCAGTCTTATGTGGAAATATAACTGGAAAAAATAAGATTATTTTAATAATTTGAAAAGTGGTTATTTATTAAAGATTAGTTGCAATATAGAATCTGAAACCATATCAATTATTTTTATATGGTTAAATTTTTTGTGCCTTGTTACATAATTTACCTATTTGTGATTTTTAAATATTACTTGAAAAATGGTGGTTCACTTAGTCCTGTAGATCTTCCAAATGTTGACATAGATTACACATCAAAAAATCAAAACATCATCATTGATGCTCATAGAAATGGATGAAAGTTTTCCATAATTGCTTGAATTTTCTCATGAGCATAAATACCGTAAATTGTCTTCCTTGAAGAGAAAGGCTCACTTCATTTTCAAATCTTATTTCCTTTCATTTGAAATACCCAAATCCAAATAACCACAGTTTTCAGCCTTTTTCTTTTTTTTTAAAAAAAAGAATGGTGCTTATTTGAACAAACTAAAAGCCAGTTGTAAGCTCACAACTCAATCAACAAAGGCTTTCTCATGAGATAATTGTCTTACTACAAAAGTGTTTCCTGTGGTTCTTCCTTTACATCATCCAAAATATTGACATGACATGTACCCAAGGGCTGAGATTTAATATAATTATTTTTAATGCTTCTTAAAGGACATTTTTTTTAGTGAATCTGACTTATTTTTTTAACTGAGGGTGCCTGGTAGTAAAAAATACAGTTTGATGTGACTGTCTGAATCATGCTAAGCAGCTTAAGTTTGAATCCAGTAATACTATCCACTAAGCTCTGTGACTTAGAACATACTTAAGCCTATTGAGCCTGGATGTAGTCATATGCAAAATGGCAACATAGTACCCTCATAAATTCACTGCAACAAATATATGAAGGAAATGTTTAAATACCATACACAATGCATTGACACAAATGTCACAATATAGTATACCGCTTTCAAATACAGACTATGGTATTAAGATATTAAGAGCAGCACATCATGGCAGGCGCCGCGGCTCACTAGGCTAATCCTCCACCTGCGGCGCCGGCACACTGGGTTTTAGTCCCGGTCGGGGCGCCGGATTCTGTCCCGGTTGCCCCTCTTCCAGGCCAGCTCTCTGCTGTGGCCCAGGAGTGCAGTGGAGGATGGCCCAAGTGCTTGGGCCTTGCACCGGCATGGGAAAGCAGGAGGAAGCACCTGGCTCCTGGCTTTGGCGCAGTGCGCAGGCCACAACATGCCGGCCATAGCGGCCATTGGAGGGTGAACCAAGGGAAAAGGAAGATCTTTCTCTCTCTCTCTCTCTCACTCACTGTCCACTCTGCCTGTCAACAGCAACAACAACGACAAAAAACCGTGCATAGATTTCAAAAAGTTTCTGCACCAGTATATATTTATCTTTGAGTTCCAGTTTTCACAAACTTTCTGTGGTACCCTCATATATATTTGTCAGGTCCCATAAACAGCTAAAATCTGCTGTACGTTTGAATAATAAACTTTCCTGCTACCTAGATTTGGCTTCTTTACTGCTGAGGTTAACAATATACTCTGTTCTCATTCTGGAAGTCAAGAAACCAAGACCCAGAAAACAAAGTCACTGTGATTTGGTGTCTCCTTGGATAAAAAGACAAAGTAAGAATATACAAAACTATGTTTTCAATAGGATTAGCCTATTGAGCCGTGGTGCCGGCTTATGCACGGTTTTATGATAATGCATTTTCTATGAAGTATCTGAAGACCCCTCATCTACATAGATTTCAAATTTTCTGCAAAAAGCTACAATTATCTTTTCATTCCATTTCCATAGACTTTCAAAAGTGCCTTCATACTGGTCTCCAGCTATTCTCAAGTGGAATGTTGACAAATTCTTCAACACTCCATTTAGTGTGGAGCACTCTTAAGGTTTTGAGAAGAGTACCTTGCTTAGATTCTTGCATGTGACCATGAATCAAAGTTTAAAATTGCAGCAACCATACACAGTAACCTAGAAGTTAAGAGCGAATAGTTACTTCTGGATTATGAGATAATAACTGATTTTAAGGTTTTCCTACCACCAGTATTTTCTGCCTACTGTTTCAAAGTTATTTACTTGTTTTTCAAATAACAACAATTCACCACGAGCTTGGTTTATGGCAAATTTATTGTGATCTTGCATAGCACTTGAAATCGCAAAGCATTAGCTAGAATTGAAAGAGCAATGCATTCATCTTGGCAAAGGGAGAAAGCAGATTTCGCTGTGGCCATCGCCATTCCTCAATATCTCTTAGAAAAGAAGGATTGTCTACCCGAAAGCCATCATTTTAATGACACAATGTGTAACATAAGGCAGTAAAAACACTCGGAGTAAGCAGGTGCTAAAGCTCTTGCCTAACAAAGAGCGCTCAGATCGGCCATGGAACAGCCGCCAGTGCAACACAGAGTTTGCAATTCCTGTCTTGACATCACCGAACGCTGCTTCGAATCTGAGAGCCCCTCACTGGGCATCTGCTCATTCTGGAGCTGTTCCTTCCCCGAGAAATCCACCTTCAGAAGGTCGTACGCTGGGTTTCCCCCAGAAACCTCGTGTGTGTTTGGGAGAGGGAAGTTGTTTCTTCTCTCAGCTGCATGGGGGGAAAGAAAAAAATTAATAGTTCTTTAGAGAGCCCTGACAAAGGAGGCAGCAACTGTGTGCTGCTCTTGGAGAATGAATGGGATTTCTCAAGTGAACCTGAGTCTTCCACATAACCTTTCTAAGTCGGTCTGATTTCAGAGAGGTTAGACATTTGGGTGAAAGCGTTTTGCAGAGCAGGAAACTTGAGTGCCAAGAGGAAGAGGGTCATACCCCGTGTCACAAGGTAGGTGGAGCCGAGCCAGGGCTGGACTTCTGGCTGCCACTGCTCAGTGACCAGCAGAATCCGAAGGTATCAATTACACGCTGTAAACAAAAGTCACACAGACAAACGGGCAGAATCCTGTGTATGTTCTACAAAGCTGATCCGGCAAGGAAGTGGAGACTGAAACCTCTGTATCTGAAAATATACTTTAGTGTCATTCTCAAAGTGCACACTTAAGCCTCTTTCCTTTAATTTAGTTTAAATTTATTTATCAGTGGCTTAGTGTAGCAAGTACCAAAAACAAAACAAAACAAAAACTATATGATTAAATGCTGCTTGGTAAACTGGTTATTGATGAGACAACTCCTGGGAAAACACTCTGAAATTCAGTGAGTCATTAAATAAATGATTTTGGATTTCAGTGGCATCGAAAAGACTTAACCTCATATAGATATCTATTCCACTGCCCCAAGTGTCTCAGAGATTTTTCAAATATGATTTTTTCAGTGCATTTGTGTTTAATATTCCAAAGATTGATGAAAGGCCCAGTAGGTTATAATTTTACTCTCTTAAGATTAAAAGCCGTTATTATTCCTGCTAACACCTTACAATGTGAAACAATATGATTAGAATGGAAATGTCGATGATAAATTCATAATTTTTAACATTATTCTACCAAAATATGAACACAGTACATCCTTTTCTAAAATATTTTAACAAAGATATTTTAAACCAAATTGGAAATTTTATAACCATATATGTGTTTGCAACATTTATTATGTAATCATAGTTTTGTCTTTTTAGCATTTTGTTGTAAAACAACAATCGCAACCAATTATTAAAATAGAATCCTAAGGGGCCGGTGCTGTGGCACAGCAGGTTAACGCTCTGGCCTGAAGCGCCAGCATCCCATCTGGGCACTGGTTCGAGACCCAGCTGCTCCACTTCCGATCCAGTTCTCTGCTGTGGCCTGGGAAGGCAGTGGAAGATGGCCCAAATCCTTGGGCCCCTGTACCGGCGTGAGAGACCCGGAGGAAGCTCCTGGTGCCTGGCTTCAGATTGGCGCAGCTCCCGCCATTACGGCCAATTGGGGAATGAACCGTTGAATGGAAGACTTCTCTCTCTCTCTCTTTCTCTCTCTGCCTCTCCTCTCTCTGTGTAACTGACTTTAAAATAAAAATAAATAAATCTTTAAAAAAATAAAATAGAATAGAATAGAATCCTAAGCCAGGCACAGAAAGACAAAAACTATCTGATTTCACTTATACAGGAATTCTAAAAAAACAGAACTCTTAGAAGTAGAGAGGAGGAGGATGGTTACCCGGGACTGCAGTAGGGTTGATGTCTGGAGAGATTTGGTCAACAGGTACACAATCTCAATTAGATGAGAAGAAATAAGCCCAAGAGGTCCACTGTGCAGCCCACTGACCATAATTAACTATGCATCATATTCTTGAAAATTGCTGAGAGCAGATTCTAAGTGTCCTCACCACACACACATACAAATATGTGAGATAATGCAGATGTTAATTAGCTCAACTTAGTCATTCCATAATGTATACATATTTCAAACAATATGTATACATTAAATACATAAAGTTTCTATCAATTTTTTATAACTGTAACAGTATTTTTAATTGTATTATTTTATTGTATTGTTATTTTTATGGTCTTAGAATTGTACCTGCACAGCAGATGGAATCTGTTAAAAACTAATTAAAAATGAAAATTAAAAAATTAAAAAAAAATAAATTTTAGCTCCCATGTATAAGGGAGAGCATGCAGTATTTGCCTTTCTTTGTCCAGCCTATTTCACTTAACATGATGTCCTCCAGTTGTGTCCATTTTGCTGCAAGTGGTAGAATTTCATCCTTTTTAATAGCTGACTAATATTCCATCGTGCATATATACCACATTTTCTTTGTTTGTTCAGCTGATGATGGATGCCTTGATTGATTCCAAATTTTGGCTTTGGTGGACAGTGCTACTATAACATGGTGGTGCAGGTATCTCTTTGATACAATGTGTTCATGTCTTTCCCGTATATACTCAGTAGTAGTAATACTGGATCATATGGCAAGTCTATTTCAAGTTTTTAAGAAATCTCCACCCTGTTTTCCACAGTAGCTGCATTAATTTACATTCCCACCAACAGCATATAAGTGTAAAAGTATTTATAAGTGTTAAAGTAGTTCAAAATAGGGGCAGGTATTTGGCATGACAGCTTAGTTGCCATTTGTGAGGCTGGCATCATCTCACATCAGAGTGCTGGGTTCAAGTTTCCACTCCCAACTCCAGCTTCCTTCCATTGCACACCCTGGGATGCAGCAGGGGGTGGCTCAGGTACTTGGGCCCCTGTCACTCACATGGTAGACCTGAATTGAGTTCCTGGTTCCTGGCTTTGATCTGGCCCAGCCCCAGCTACTGAAGGCATATGGGGAGTGAATCGATGAAATCTCTCTCTCTCTCTCTCTCTGCCTTTCAAATTAAATAAATACATTTTAAAATAGAATCTTAAATAAATAACACTTTAATATTGGATTAGCCCCAAGAATTATAGTCAAACTTCCAAATCACATAATTGAAAAAAAAAAAAGTGAGGAAGACCACATACGGTTCATTCCCATCTTTGAAATTCTGTTCAGACAATTCTTGAATTTCCCATCCTGCTTCGCCCTGTTTCACACCCATCCTTCAAAACTCCCCAAATTTTACCCAGCCTCCAGAATCTCTATCAAACACCATCACCTCCACAGTGATATCAATTATCACGACAGTCCGCCACCTTCTCTCCCCACCTGAGACACAATGCAGAATAAACAAAGGCTTTAGCTCCTGAAGCCAAACAGAGCTAATCCACTTCTTAGCCATGCTGCTTACCAGTGGGGTGAAGTTTTCTCTTTGCTAAAATGATAAATGGTAGTCATTTCCCTTATTTCACAAGATCTCCACAGGAAGCAGAGTGAAATGTTGCACATGAAACTGCCTGGCACTTAATAAGTGCTCAATAAAAATCAGATTCCTTCCTTCCAGCTTTATTCAACACCTGCCTAAATTTCAACTGGTATTTCAAAAATCCAACCTATGTGATTTTCCCTGTGTGAAAACCTTGCTACTCTAAACCACATGCCTTGAAATCACATGTGTCTCTCCTCCGCGGTGCAGTGATGTTCAGCTCACTGAAGCAGTCGTGCCATCCATCGATTTCAAGCCACAGACTGAAGAAAAAGAAGTCCTTATTTTTCAAACAGCAGCACGCTCACCTCTTTCTCAAGCCAAATATAGTCTATTTTGATCATCAGCCTCCTGTATGGATATGAGTCATCGATGACTAAAAGACCTGTTTATAAACAATTTGGAAAAAAAAGAGAGAGAGATATAAAAATCAAAAAGTCGACTGAGTTAGCATTACCTTCCTGCGCTTGTGGGTTCCCCTCCAGGTGCCTTCTCCAGCGGGAGGTGGCACAGATGTAGACGACTGTTCGCACGTACTCCAGCCCGCAGAGCTTCACTTTCCCCTCGCCCCCCACCTCTGAGACGGCGGCCAGCAGGACGGAGAACAGAGAGGCAGTGAGAACCAAGCCCTTCATTCTGCTGCCGAGGGAATGAGGATCTGATAGCGAATCCTGCCTAATCAAGTTTTGATGCTGTCCTCACTCTCTCCACCAATTTATGCTCACTCTCCTGACATGTTATGGGGCAGAACTTCATTTTAACAATGTTTGCTAAGCACCTAGCTTCCACAGGGAAGTTTTAATAATGTGTTTTTACGAGCATTGTCAGTTATTCAGTTACTTCTGAACTCTGCTGTGGGCATTAACTGCATGTGTGGAACAATAAACAGATGTTCTCTGGGTAGGCATCGTGGAAAACTCATGGCAGCAGCCAAGTAGGATTTGCAGTCTTAGCTTTGCCCCTTATAGATTGATGCAGGCAAGTTTTAAACTCTCTGACCTCAATGACCACATCTTTACACAGGAAAACCCATCTCATAAGAGTTTCACGAATATTGAAAAGTAGCATCATGTCAAAGCCATGGAAAATGACATTTAAGAATGTCTTCCGTCTAAAGCATGGCTTCTGCTTACCAGAACTAGAATCTAAAGCCAGTTACATAAGCATCCTTCTTAGTGAGCTAATGAGATAATGAAATAATGTGGGTCAATAATTGCTAGCTGCCTTATTCTCTCACAACCAGAATAGACCAGAAAGGCGGGCATTGTGCTGTAGTAGGCTAAGCCTCCATCCGTGGAGCCAACATCCCGTGGGTGCAGATGTGAGTCCTGGCTGCTCCACTTCTGATCCAGTTCCCTGCTAATGGCGTGGGAGAGCTGTAGAGGATGGCCCAAGTGCTTGGGCCCCGGCACCCACGTAGGAGACCGGAAAGAAGCTCCTGGCTCCTGGCTTCAGATCAGGCCAGCTCTGGCTGTTGTATCCATTTGGCAAGTGAACTGGCAGATGGAAGACTGACTCTGTCTGTAACTCTCTCTTGTATTAAAAAATGAATAGAAAGGTAATTTCTCTACAGGATTCAGGAGAGCTTCTCTGACTAGAATCTCCCCTGTTACTCTTCACCTGTGACTTGGGTATGCCTTTCTCAGCATGCACTTTTATTGTAATAGTAAGCTGAATCTATAATCCCAAACAGCTAAAGAGTGACATTTCTTTCAGTTAACCCTCTGAAAACACCAGGTCTTGCAAAACTCTTACCTAAACTGGGAACACTGGTATTTGAGACCTCAATGTGATATCACTTCACTTTATATCAAGTTGAACAATGTAATTGTTTAGTTGATTCTGTGATTCCTTCTCTGTGGAGGGAAAAATATCACCTCCATCTGTGGCAAAGATCCTGAACATTAATGGCCTCAACTCTCCAGTTAAAAGACACACATCTTAAATTTATTTAAATCTTATAGAGAATGTTTAAAACTATGATCAGTTACATGCTCAATATGATTGATTATATGAAGGTCCACAATTAACATGAACCAAAAGTCCAGATGGATTTCAGTAAACACATCTTTCACTATAAACCATTTGTCAAAGGAACTATGGTTATAGTATGATGAATAGTGTTTGAGGCAGCGAGACATGAGTTGTAAACACGTCTATGGCATCAGTTTTCAGTTCTCTATTCTGCCATTAAATATATATGTGACATTAGGATATTTGTAATGTGATTCTCGGTTTCTTAATTTGTAAAATGTGGATAAATTTATATATATGTGTATATATACATATGTATATGAAATATATTCAGCCATTAAAAAAAAGGAAATTCCACCATGTGTGACAACTAGGATGAACCTGGAGAACATTGTACTAAGTAAAACAACACAGACTGATACTATATGATCTCACGTGTGGAATATTAAAAAAATACACTCCCAAGGTAGAGAGTAGAATAATAGTTGCTAGGGTTTGTAGGGAGGTGGAAAGATGTTTGTCAAAAGGGCAAAATTTTCCAAGTATAAGAAAAAATAGAGGGCCGGCACTGTTGTGCAGCAGGCAAAGCTGCATCTGCGGCTCTGGCATCCCATATTGGTGTCAGTTCAAGTCCTGGTTGTTCCACTTCTGATCCAACTCCCTGCTTATGTGCCTGGGAAAGCAGCAGAATATGGTCCAAGTCCTTGGGCCCCTGGCCCCACATGGGAGACCTGGGAGACATGGGAGACATGGGAAGCTCCTGGGTCCTGGTTCAGGATTAGCCTAGCTTCAGCCATTGCAGACACCTGTGAAGTGGAATCAGCTGATGGAAGCTCTCTGTCTCTCTGTCTCTTTCTGTAACTCTTTCAAATAAATAAATAAATCTTAAAAAAAGAATAAAAGTAGGTTTTGGTGATCTCATGTACAGCATGATGACCCTAGTTAACAATATTGTATTGTTTACTTGGAGTTTACTTAGGTCTTAAGTGCTTCCCCCACAACAAATGACAATTAAGTATGATGATGAATGTACTAATTATGTTACAGCAATCATTTCACAATGTATATCACATTTTATAACTTGAATATACACAACTTTTGTCAATTATTTCTTAATAAAGTTAGAAGAAAACCCCCAAACTCAAAACAAAATAAAATAAGCAGCTAAAATTTTAAATGCATCATAGAAAACAATAATTGATATTTAAAACTGGTATGGACAGAGCAGTTATTTTAATTTTTATGTTTTTGTTATCAATTAGGGATTTTTAAAATAGACATTCAAGAATCAAAATGTGTGAAATAATTTGGAAAATTCAATCAAATGATCAGCCATTTCTATTGTAAGACCCCCAAAACTTCTGAGATTCTTTGTTCTTCCTGGTATGATGGCACCAATACAGCGGACTTATTCAAAGAAAATACAGGTAAAGTAAAAGCACGTTTTTCATGAGTTGATCTGGATGCTACATAAATGTCTCACCAATTTATAAAAAAACTTTATTTTTATAAAATTCATAACAATGTTCTGTTGTTTCGAATTAATAGCCAGGCTTTGTTTCCTAACACAGTAATTAGTTTCAAGTAACCTATCAACTTTTTAAAAATTTTTCACCAAATGAGGAAATGCAGTCGAATAGCCTAGTAAATGTTCTATGGATTTAAGGGTGGATTTGCACATTGCACGAAACCTTGAACAAACAAGACACACAGTCTAAATGTCATGCGAAGGAACAATGGTCATCGTATAGTCTGCATCTCCAGTAGCAGAGGTGTGGCCTTGGCAAGACCCAGCATCCACCAACGGCAAAGAGATCCTCAAAACACCAGAATGCAGGGATATGGCTCTTGGATCATCAGACCAAGAATTGCCATTTTTTATGATAACTGGCATTTTCCTCAATAAAAGAAAGCATAGACTTGTTTTTATTTTTGTCTTGAAGAGGATGGTTAATTTTTTAAGGTTAATTTTTTATTTATTTGAAAGGCAGCGTTAGAGAGAGGAGGAGGAGGAGAGGGAGGAACAGAGAGAGGGAGTGGGAGAGAGGGATCCTCCATCTTCAGGTTTACTCCCCAAATGGCTGCAACAGCTGGGGCTGGACCAGGCCAAAACCAGGAACCAAGAACTTCTTCCGGGTCAGCATGTGAGTGCAAGGGGCCAAGCTTCTGCTGCTGTCCCAGGTGCCATAGCAAGGAGGTGGATCAGAAGTGGAGCAGCTGAGTCTCAAACCAGTGCGTAATTCGGATGTGGCTGAAAATCCTGTGAGAGCAGTTCAGGCACGGAAAACCAAGAGACTGGAAAAAAAATATCCTACATGAAGGATCTCTGTGAGTGAGACCCCAGTGGGAAGGAGGAGCGATCAAAGAAGGATGTACTTTTCTCTGAAGGGAGGAGAGAACTTCCACTTTGCTTATAACCTTCTCTAAATACTGACAAAGGTTGTGGTCACAAAAGGCTTCCATAGCCTTGGCAGCTCATGGCAAGAGCCTCAGGTGATCACTGATGTCATAAATAAGAGTGCTAATTATTAAATTAACAACAGAGGTCACTGTGCACTTACTCCCCATGTAGGACCTCTATCCTTAATGAGGTGTACTATGAGAATTAACTGCAAAACTTGTTTTCAAACAGTACTTAATACTTTGTGTGTGTGTGGGGGGGTGCAAACTGTTGAAATCTTTACTTAGTATAGACTTGGTCTTCTGTATATAAAGCTAATTAAAAAATGAATCTTAATGAAGAATGGGATAGGAGAGAGCAGGAGGTAGGATGGGAGTGGGGGTGGGATGGTGGGTATGGGGGAAAGAACTACTATATTCCTAAATTATACCTATGAAATTTGCATTCATTAAATAAAAGCTTTCAGAAAAAAAAAAAAACGGAGCCTATATTGGGTGCTGGGGTCACAGGCAGAGGTTTAACTTGTAAGTCACAACACAGGCCCCAAGAAAGGCTGATTTTATATTGTTATAAAGTGAAGAAAACCATGAAGATATTTATCAACTTTCCAGGCTGCTTTTATGTTCTTGATATTTTTCACAGTTAAAATGTTTTATTCCCTGTAATATTAGATATTTTGTTAGGATATTGAGAAAATTAAATTTACAGTATTAGACTGTGCTGTAATAAGTGGCAAACATGAAACCATGATTTTCCTATTAATTTGATATTTCATTCATTCAACACATTTTCGTTGTATTACCACTCTGTAGAGGTACTGTTTGTTAGAGGCACTGGAGATACATACAATATGGCGAGCAAAACACATAGTTCTTACCTACCAGGATCTCACAATGTGGAAGAAAACAGTCACTAGGCAAATAATCACATAAATATTTAAAGCAGCAAATATGAATCTTAGTTTAGAAACTCAGTTACAGCCAAGAAATATTACTGTATTTTCTATAACTCAGTTTAGTTTGGGACTTCGAGTCTCTAATCCACCCAACTAGCAGAAACAAACACCATACAAAACAAATTAACATAAGTTCAGCTTTGGCCTGATTTCTTTCTCCTTCCCAGGATGTAATTGCAGCCTCTTGCTCCATGCCGAGGCCTTCTGTCATCAGGGCTGGTGCTTCCCTGGTTGCCTGGCTTCCTCCCGTCTAGTGGGTCTCTGTTGCTTTTGCACATCACTTGTGGTGTGGGGAGAAGTTTACAAAGCAGACTGTGATCTCTCCTAGATCTTACCACTTCCTGAATACAGCTTTTCAGAAACAGGACAGAGGTCCACTCTGCTATGAGCTACAGGCCTCCCTCTTTTCCTCATTTCTCCATACTCTCTCTTCCTTAGGAAACTTCATTTCTCTTCATGTCTAAGATACTTGGTCTGTATTTTTCTTATGTCCTATGCTTTTTAGAACAAAATGGATATATTTGATTTATTATCATTGTGCTTGTCTCCTTAAACTTATACGCACAAAGTTACCATTTTGGGGGTAGGGGAGATAATGAAGAAAAAACAAGGACTGAAAAATAATTTTCTAGGAGCTGGCATTGTGGTGCAAGGGATTAAGCCACTGCCTGGGATGCCAGCATCCCATATGGGTGCAGGTTTAAGTCTTGGCTGCTCTACTTCTGATCCAGCTCCCTGCTAATGGCCTGGGAAAAGCAGTGCAAGATGGGCCAAGTACCTTGGCCCCTGCCACCCAGGTGGGAGACCTGGATGAAGCTCCTGGTTCCTGGCCTCAGCCTGGACTGGCCCAGCCCTGGCCATTGCAGCCATTTGGGGACTCAACCACAAAGAGGTGGAAGATCTCTTCTCTCTGTCTCTCCCCCTCTCTGTGTAACATTGCTTTTCAAATAAATAATAAATATTTTTTAAAAAAGAAAAATAATTTTCTAAATGTTATGCTACAACAATTTCTGAAATAGTGCTATAAGTAAAATTCCACAGTGGCTTGAAAACGTTTAACAGAAGGCCTAAATTTAGTCTGGTTGGGTGGTAGGACCTCAAGGCCCAAGGGAGTTCAGAAAATGTGCTCCTGAGAAGGTGTGATTTGAACTGAGGTCTGAAAGGTGTGTAAAGAGTTAAGTATATTGAAGGAGTAAGGAATAGCAAGGAAGCTGCTCCCAACAGAAGGGACACATGTGGCAAGGCCTACAAGTTTACAAGCATGATCACTTATGGATAAAACCTTAATTATAGAAAACTAGGCATGCTCACATTTTGTTGTTACAAATCTCAGCAAACTATATAGGGCATTAGCCATTTACTCCACAATAGAGGGACGGATACAAAAAGTACACAAGTACTGGAGATCAAGCCTGATCAGTTACAGCTGTATAGTCTTTGGCATGTTCTATCACCTCTTCAAGTCCTAATTAGATCATCTGTAAAATAAAGACCGTGATAATAACAACTTGCCCCAATGTCTGATAGGATTCCTGTTAGGATACACTGGGATAATGGATAGAAACATGTTTTGCAAAGTATAAAAAATTTTAATGTGCATTATTACTAGTATGTTGATAATTCAGTCAAATTATAGTAAAAGTCAACATTTTCTTTTAGGGAGATTCTCATCGAGACAAAATGGAAACTACTAGGTTCTAATTCTGCACTTGTAATTGTGCATAACTACACAGAGGTGAGCCAAAATGAATATATTAAATCTGATACGTAGTAGTGAATACAGTAATCCTTTCCTACTCAGCTGAAAGAACAGCTAACAATTTACTGTCTGACAATAATAATGTAAGTTGCATATGGGAGATGCCTAGCAGAAAATGATCACATGAAGTCATGAATATCTAGCAGGAAATTAGAGCCTAAAGTTAGCAGAGTCAGCATTCCCTCCTTCAGTCCCTAACCAGCACACTGGGGTGTGTGTGGGTGGGGGGGGTGGGGGGATAACACAAGATGGCTACTGGCTAAGCAGAATTCTCATTCAGCCTAAGAAAGCAAGAAACATGATTCCTTCTGAAACCCCCACGTAAATGATCTTATAGTGAAAATCATGCTACTCTACAGGCATGGGAAAACCGCTTCAGACAGCTGGAGAAGCAGGTGAGAAGAGTGCAATGGAATAGGCTCAGTGCTTTACAACCAGCTGCCCAGGATCTGAAAAGAATACTTTACATCTCATTTAGGTTTGATAAACAACGAGAGGAGAACACGGAACAATTTTTAAAAAATTTAAAAAATATAGTAACAGGAAACACACTTTTTCAATCAAATCAGGTTTTTATTTTCTTATACAAAATGTTGTGGAAAGTACAACCCTTCAGAAAGACAAAGATAATCACAATGACTTACACCAGTAGAAAATTCAAAATCCTTTAAAACTGACTTCATCCATCGTGAGTCATTTAAAAATTGCCTTGCTTTTATTTAAAGAATGGCTTCAAGGAAATGGAGATTTTGAAGAAATGGATATTCTTAAATAGTAGTTTCTACCATTAAACTGATTCCATCTGCAGTTTCTAATACATAATATTTTTTTCCAGAGCATTAAGAGTTTTGTATGTCTTATCCTCTCCTCAGCACTTAGAATGCTTTGTAGAATAGGCCATAATGTCCTATGGTCTCAAATAACAAACTCAGAACTTGCTAAAACAAACTCCAGGGAATAACCTGCTAACAATCTATATTTGGAGGAGTCACTGCCCCCTACTCTCACCCCCATTTCCACCACCTCTCTTTAAAACCCTTCCTGAAATAACATCCTGATGTGGCCTGTAGATCACAGACTTTCTAATTTCTCTCTGAGTCCATTTAAATCCGGGCTTAAATTTTACAGCAGATTTTAGGCATGCAGATAAGGGTGTCCTGATGTGACTCAGATTTACTTTTGTCACTTAACTGTTAGTGTAATGCCTGTTGGCTAAACAATACAATTCTAATACTTGCAGTTATAACCTGTGCTTGTTAAAATAGCCTAATAAAGTTCCACAGCTTCAGTTCTCAGATCTAGGAGGATAAAGTTTTGATTAAAAGTTGGGTATGAGAATCTGCTGTTCTTATTATAATAATAACTGACTGCATTATTATATAGTAATTATATAAATTCTTGAAAATAGAGTTTGAAAAGCAGAAGATTTAAAAGTCAGTCCAATTTTGTCAAAAAGATTTTGGTTTAAGTAATTTTAATAATTTCCAAGTTTTACTTCTAAGGGAATGATTTTCTAACATATCTGGACATTGTATAAGTCATAAGTGTCCTTATGTATAGTTGGAATGTGACCAAGAAATACAGTAGAAACATCTTTAGAAAAATTAAGAAAATCTAACAAAACTCTTATTTAGAACCACTGTTAACTTATGTTACAAACTAATCATATATATGTGAAATAAAATTTCTTTAAATTGAAATGGAGGTTATGCATCAAGTATTGTTTTTAAAAATCAAAATCTCAGCTTGCTGCATACAATACAAATGAATGAACGTTAAACACTGATCCTTTTTCTTTAAACAACAACAGAAAGATATTAAGAATGATGAATTATCCTGGTTGGTTTGATTTTGGTCCAAGCAAAGTACATATTATATTTCCCTGGAAAGAAAAAAAGTCACAATTATAATGCCATAATATGCAACCTAAAAGGTAAAGTAGTCTTTAAGGTGTCATTTAAAATTTATAGCTTAGTGATACATACATAAAAGGCATCCAGTAAGTCTGTAAAAAGGGAACAAACAAAGACAAGTTTGAACAGTCATGGGTACTTCCTAGTGTAAACCTGTTCTTTCCTATGAAAGACTCTTAAAAAAGTTTGATAAATAATTTTACAATGATTCACAGGGCAATTTTGGCAGCTCCTACTTAGCTGTAATGTTTCAACATTCTCATCTGTAAAATATCTATTAAACTGCATGATATCTTAAGCTCTTTCCAGATCTGATAACACTTGATTTAAGAGAGTAGAACTTCTCAATTTTCATGTGAGTTTGTGTTTTCACTCAATAACACTAATCTTTTTGTTAAAAGTTTAGTTTTACTAAAAGGGATGAAATCACATATAAGAGTTTCTAATACATATTGTATAAAAATGTCTTCTATTTATGTTGGAAATCTCTTCTTCTAATCTGATATTTTTAATTTGATATATGAAATCCTGAATAGAATTTTTTTAAAATCTGAATGGAAAATTTTAACTTTGACATAATTATACAAAGAATAGCTGAAGTATATTAAGAATTTAATATACACCTGGAAAAGTTCTAATTATTCTGACCCTATTAACTCATTTACTCTTTTTATAAAGTTTTAATTCTGGAACCATTATTATGTTCGTTTTACAAATAAGGAAACATAAAAATTAGATTTTTTTACTTATTTTTAAAAAAACTATCTTTACATTTATAGTATGAAGACATATTCTTGTATTTTCTTCTAAAGTTTATTTTATTTTTCACATAGATTTTCAATCCATTTGGCATTTGCCAATTCACAAAGTGTGAGATACAGATTTAATTTTATTTTTTTCTCTGTGTCACTCCTAGAATTGTGAACCTTAAATGATTTTTCCATCATTTTTTACAGAACATCATGAAAGCTATAATTTTTCTAGTGACAAAAAATCCAGTTGGTTCCTTTGTCACTTTTCTCTCAAGTAACTTGTTAACTAGTTTAAAAGGTCCACTCACCATTTCCTTGAACATTTCCAATTCCAAATCTTTGCTTAAGCCTTTCAGTCTGGAATAAGACCTACCTTTTTTTGTCTGCAAGGCAAGATCCTAAACTATCAATTATAGTTGAAATTTAATCTCCTTTGTGAAAGTTTTCCCTAAAGTATTCTTTTCTTATTTTTTTCATTTTCCTTTTTACATTTCCCTTTTAAAAGTCAATTAATAATTAATTTGCTGCACTGTGTTTCTATAGACGTCTGTTTATTAGATAGCTACTATAAGCCAGATACTATATTTTGCCACTGGTATATAGCGCAGTGTGAAAGAGACAACAATCACTGTTTTCATGGAGTTTATACAATACTGTGGGACACAGGCAATTAACAAAATATATAAGTATATTATATAGTATATTCAAAGGTGATAAGTGTTGTTAATAAAAATAAGTCATGGAAGAATATTGAAGGATAAGTGTGCAGGAGAGTAGAGGCTGAAATTTTAAATAAGATGGTCATAGAAGATTTGACTGAGAAAGTGACACTGAACACAGATTTGAAATGGGTGGAGGAACATGCCTGTGCAATGATAATTAGAGTCGCATGCATTTTATTTAGTTACTTATTTAACATTTATTTAACGATATGGTTGGCTGGTTAGGACTCTACCTCCAACGTGTGACCCAGATCTAATCAACCATCTTATTTCCAGGGCCTTATTTCTCTCTTATTTGATATTTAGATTGTTCCCTTTTCCTTTTTCTTTTCCTGTGCTGTCACAGGAAATACTATGATGTCTTTGATTACATTTATCAATATTTCTGTAGGATAGAGTCCCAGAAGAGGAATTACTAGTTCAAGGAATTAATATTCTCCAAACATTTCTAATTGTCTTGGTTACATTGCTATAACCAAAGAAGTTATAATAATTTGTATTCTAATTATCAATATCACAGAATTGATCAAATATTTGCCAATATTAAATATTCCCACAAAAAACTTTAAATCAACATTGTCATCTTGATACATGAGAATGCTACCACATTTTAAACAATAAATTTTTATTTCTTTAATTATTCTTGAGGTTGAATTTTAAAATATACTTAGTAGTCATTTCTTGTGAATGACTTGTTCCTGAACAATGCCCACTCTTTTATTATCGTCTTAATGGTTTTTTATTGATGTGCGTATATTTTGAATATTTTATCAAGTTTTTCATTTATGTGATAGTATTTACCAGATTACTGTTTGCAACAATTTAAACATAAGAAACACTGAAAAATGAGAAGTCATTTTTAAAATAATGGACATCCCATGATACTGAGTTCCTAGTCAAAGCTTGGACACAAAATTTTGATATTTGGAGAGGAGGCAAGATGGTGGAATAGGAAGGGAGCACACTGATAGTCCGGGGAGAGACAGTTTAATAAAAGTGGAGATACTGCAGGTTCAAGGAAGAGTAGGGGAAGAAACAGCAGAAGAAACTCTTCCGGAACGAGTGATTCACAGTGGACCTGCGTGGAGAGCGTGGGAGCCCACAGTTCGGGAAACCAGCGGCAGACTCAACACACCAGCGCTGGAACGTGAGGTGAGCCGAACCTCAATAGCCCGAGACACCGGCAGGCAAGCGGAAAGAGGAGACTAGAGGGAACGACCCCGGGGGGGGGGAGTTCACCAGGCTAACTGGTAGAGAGAGAGAGAGAAAAAAAAAGGTGACTGGTACGGACACGGGTTTCTCTCTCTCTGCTCACCTCTCAAGGGCGAGCAAGACAAAGAGCAGGCACCATCTTGGACATACGTCATAAGCAGAGCGACCTCAGGTCTGCACCGGCCCTGAGCCTAGCAGAAAAACCTGACTCTGGGCAGGGCGAATTAACAGGAGATTAGGACCTAGTAAATTTGTGGTGCTATTGAACTGAGACTGTGAAAAAAGAGACGGTGGGGGAGAGAACTCACGGAATTCACGTGAGCACTCTCCAGAGACGCTACAATTCCGTAACTTTGGCAACCCAGTGGGAGACTGAAGGAGAATCTGAGCCCACTCTGAGGGCAGAACAGATTCCCGATGTGGTCCTTGGGAAAGAGCTTCCGATCTCTGGCTCCTGTGCATATATCATTTGCCTGCTAACTACCTCCAACTTCGTTCAGCTGTGGGGAATTATTTCTCTTTTGAATCAAAAAAAGAAAGAGAGAGAGATCTACCACGCCTAACCTGGGAGTGTCACCTTTGGCACACCAAACAGAGCTCTCAGGCCACACCCATCTCAAGCCTCTAAGGCTCCATCAAAAACAGACAGTCCACTTAATCTAGAGTCATAGTATAACAAGATAAAGCACCACAGTGAAGAAACCAAATATCTCCAATATGCCAAATAACAAACGCAAAAACCAAGGTAATAAAAACAAGGAAGTCACCATGACGCCCCCAAATGAAAAAGACACCCCAATTCAAGATTATGAAGATGATGACATAGAAGAAATGCAAGAAGCAGAGCTCAAAAAATTGATAAGAACATTAAGAAGTTCTCAAAAACAAATTCTTGAACTACAGAAATCCTTAATGGACAAGATAGAAAATCTCTCTCGTGAAAATGAAATATTAAGGAGGAATCAAAATGAAACAAAACAACTAGTACAACAGGAAACTGTGATAGTGACGAGAAATCATAATGAAGTGAAGAATTCAATAGATCAAATGAAAAACACAATAGAGAGCCTTACAAACAGAATGGGTGAAGCAGAAGAGAGAATATTGGACTTAGAAGACAGAGAACAGGAAAGGATAAAGTCAGACCAAAGAAAAGAAGAGGAAATTAGAAATCTAAAACATACTGTCAGGAATCTTCAGGATACTATTAAAAAACCCAACATTCAAGTTCTAGGAGTTCCTGAAGGCATGGAGAGGGAGAAAGGATTAGAAGGCCTTTTTAGTGAGATATTAGCAGAAAATTTCCCAGGTTTGGAGAAGGACAGAGAAATCCTAGTACAGGAAGCTCACAGAACCCCTAATAAACACGACCAAAAGAGATCCTCACCACGACACGTTGTAATTAAACTCTCCACAGTGAAACATAAAGAAAAGATCCTAAAGTGTGCAAGAGAGAAATGTCAAATTACTCTCAGAGGATCTCCAATTAGACTCACAGCTGACTTCTCATCAGAAACACTACAAGCTAGAAGGGAATGGCGAGATATAGCCCAGGTACTAAGAGAGAACAACTGCCAGCCCAGAATATTATATCCTGCAAAGCTATCATTTGTGAATGAAGGTGAAATAAAGACTTTTCATAGCAAACAGAAATTGAAAGAATTTGTTGCCACTCGTCCAGCCCTGCAAAAGATGCTTAAAGATGTGTTGCACACAGAAACACAGAAACACGGTCATCAATATGAAAGAAGGAAGGAAAGCTCACAGCAAAAGATCACAGGGAATTCAAAGCATATATTAGAACTTATCTTTGGCAAATGGCAGGGCAAAGTTACCACTTACCATTAGTCACATTTAACGTTAATGGCCTGAACTGTCCAGTTAAAAGACACCGATTGGCTGATTGGGTTAAGGAACAAAACCCATCTATTTGCTGCTTACAAGAAACACATCTTTCCAACAAAGATCCATACAGACTGAAAGTGAAAGGCTGGAAAACGATATACCATGCCAACAGAAATGAAAAAAGAGCGGGCGTAGCCATCTTAATATCGGACAACATAAACTTTACCACAAAAACTGTTAAGAGAGACAAGAGGGACACTATATAATGATTAAGGGATCAATTCAACAGGAAGATATAACAATTATCAATGTATATGCACCTAACTACAGGGCACCGGTTTATCTAAAAGATTTGTTAAGGGACTTAAAGGGAGACTTAGACCCCAATACAATAGTACTGGGGGACTTCAATACTCCACTCTTAGAAATAGACAGATC